CCAGAGAAGAGAGACTAGTATAGAAGTCCAATTCAAATGGAGGACTAAAACGTGAGTAAGAAATTCTAAATAGAACCAGGAGATGGCGTTGCTATGAAAATGAGCGCCTCAACGCTGTATTGAGTCGGAGCAAAGAGTGAACGCAGTAATGGCAGGGGTAAATAGTAGAAGTGGTGGGATCATAGAACGCATAAGTCTTTTTACTTTGCTGTTGTAAGCCAAGTTTGTAAAGAAAAAAAAAAAAACGGTTGATTTTCCGAAGCGACGACTACCGGTCGGATGGCAGAAGCTTCGAGATTTACCGACATGTTATCCGAAACGAAGTCCGGATTATTAACCCAGCATTGGACTTCTATACTAGTCTCTCTTCTCTGGTATAGATAATGCATAACAACCATCGACGTTTACTAATGGACATGCCTTAGCGGCCAGAATTGTGGTTCAACAAAAGAAAGAGATGGAACGAAGTTTCGGACAATATCCATCTCTCTCACGATAGTGCGTAAGCGTGTCATGAAAGAGATAGCACTAGTCCGAAACCATACGCCCTCCATATCTCCCTCACTCTTTTCGAGCCAAGAAATTATTACAACGACATACGGCTAAGGCACGTCCATTAATATATGTCTATGATAACAACCTAACGACAGTCTAGCCACAGCATGAAGATTCTGTACAGTAGGTTCACTTTTTTGATCTGTTTAAAATACCGATATTTTTTTGCGAATTTCTTAGAATATTCAGTACGTATGAAGTCGATAATCGGTAAATTTTACCTAGACACTATTGTTTATTTCTTAACAATGACATATAGTTGTCGTTATTTAGAGTATTTTGTGTTGTTCATATTGTATTGTTTTTGTTTATCCAATTTTGGAGCGTCGATAATTTTCTCCCAGCCAGTCCTCTTTAATTAAATCTGCTCCCTTTTCTCCTACCATGATGGCTGGCGCGTTGGTATTTCCGCTTGGAATGGTAGGCATAATGGAGGCATCGATTACCCTGAGACCTCCCACTCCGTACACTCTCAATCTGGGATCAACCACTGCGGTCGAATCAGTTTCAGGACCCATTTTACACGTTCCAACTGGATGGTAAATTGTCATTGAAATTGTCCTTATGTGACATTCCCAGTATTTGTCGCTTCCAAAAGTGTGATTCCTGCAGTTTGGGAACGGAATTGTATGAATGCGGGAGCCAAATTGCTTGAAAACTCTTGACTGTGATAACTTTACTGCGAATTTTGCTCCTTCTACTAATGTTTTGATGTCGAAGGAATCCGCAAAATAGTTAGCGTCGATTATGGGGTAATGAAATGGATTTTTGGTACGTAACCTGACCGTTCCTCTTGATCTTGGACGCAAAAGCAGAGGCATAATTGTCCAGGCATCCCTATTTGCAATGGGTTTGTACACTGTGTTGTATAAGTTATCAGTAATTCCCAGTACTGTTCGCACTTTTCGTCCACCATCAGAATTTATACTTGCTGGAGCCATATGGAATTGTATATCCGGCCATGATCTGTTTCCGTAAATCGTGTTGATGAACCCCAATCCTTCCACGCCTCCCAGTGTTGTCATGGGTCCCTTTTCGTTCATTACGTACTGCATGGTCATCGGAAATGCCTCAAAACGATCTTGGACTATCGAAATGGGCTTGTCAACAAGGAACGTAAGACCACCCATGCCCACATGGTCTTGAAGATTGTCGCCCACTCTTAAATCGCTTATTACCGGAATTCCCAGTTTTGATATGTGCTCTTTGGGGCCGATTCCGGAAAGCATCAGAATTTGTGGCGAATTAATTGATCCAGCCGATAAAACAATTTCTCTCCTAGCTGTAATTACTTGACGTCTTCCATGTCTGTAAAATTCTACCCCGAATGCTCTTTTAGTATGTGGACTTATTAACAGTCGAGTCACATGCGCGTTCAAAGCGATATGAAGATTTCTTCTAAGACGAGCTGGTCGAAGAAATCCTTTTGCCGTAGAACACCGTTGTCCTCTTCTGATGGTGCCTTGGGCGATCATGAATCCTGCTTGCTCAGCTCCGTTAATATCACGAATGGGATATCCCATTTCGTTCCCTGCTTGTACAAACGCTACCACCAGTGGAGTTCTCCAGGGGGACTCTTGGACTGTTAGATAACCTCCTGTACCGTGGTATGGGGTTTTCTGGAGGTAAGGGTTTCTGTTGTCTTCCGATTTTTTAAAATAGTACAGGACATTTTCGTAATCCCAGCCAGGATTCCCTAATTTTTCCCATAAATCATAATCATTTTTATTACCTAAAAGCATTAAAATTGTATCTATACATACTTATTATTCATAGTCGCAGAGTGTAAAAATTTCTATTGCAAATTTAACTTTCCTAACTCGTATTATAACATTTTGGAATCCCCAATTCTTATTTGAGTTTCCAAATTTACAAAGTAGTTTAATTAATGCAGTTCGAACATGTCCGATTGCAAAACATTTTGAAAGACGATAGTGAAAGGCTTTCTAAAATTTCAATCGCTGTCTGAACTTTTATGTGTATTTTATTCTAATTAACGGTCCTGTTTGCCATTGTTGAGTTTATGGATGCTAATTGTTTCCGAAATATTACGCAACTAAACTGAGAACTGTAATTACAGTTACTTATAGAAAGTCGCTTAACCAAATAAATGCGTNTCAATGTACAATGAAAAAATTATTTGTGGTATTAGTAGGTAAGCAGTTCAAAAGTTTTTTAATTCTCGGTAACAACTTCTTCCACCAGTTCCTCGCTAAGCAAAGTATTACATTTTAAATATAATCTGTACTTAAACACAAACTTTTTGTAAAGATATTTAACCGCTTTAGTATGTATTTAGTACTTCGTCACACATAAAGTTGACTTATGATCACCTACAGAAACGCATTCAATTCAAATCGTGTTCGACAATGTCTCCACCTTTCTCAGCTATCATAAGAGTTGGAGCGTTCGTATAATGAATCTACAACACCTTTTATTCCATAAACGTTTAATCTTTGATCATCTACAGCATTTTTATCACTGTGATAGTGTACCTGTTGTAAAAGTGACATGTTATATCATACATTTCCAGGAAACGTTTGTGTCAGAACCATCAGCCTTGCAATTGAATATGGGTTTTTTATAAGGTTCAGTTTCTACGGATTACATGGCAGACTATTGAGTAATATTCAAAATTATTTTAATATCTTCTTAGAAATGAAGAGGTATTGGAAAGAATAGGAGAACAGAGGACTCTGTGGAAGTCAATAAGAAATAGACGAGATAGGTTGGTAGGACACCTTTTCAGGCATGAAGGTCCAGTCAGAGACATATTAGAGGCAGAAATAGAAGTTAGGAGGGGTAGAGGTAGACCTAGGTTAGATTACTGTTCACAAATAGTTAAGGATGGGGGTTGTTCTAGTTTTAGACCGAGCGGCATGGCCTAGAGATCTAGACCATTGCTTAGCATTCGGGAGGACGCCGGTTCGATTCCGGGTCCGTCTGCCTTGGGCCAAGTTTTTCTGTGGTTTCCTTGAATCACTTAGGCAAATGCTGAGGCAGTAATATTCCACAGATAATCTCACTCTCTTCTGTCTTCATTTTGTCAGTCTCATCTTTCTCACCCGAACCACCACCCACCCATTCCCACGATTCCTGAAAGCAGGCTGAAGAGGGCCTTCCGCCCTACCTTCCGGCTTAGTCCGGAGGGACTGCCCGCCCACCAGCATTACTGGCTGGTGGGAATGAAACACCCAAAAGTTCTTTTTTTTCTAGTTTTAGAGAAATGCGAAGATTAGCTCAATATAGGAAAGACTGGAGGTATGTGTCTAACCAGTCTTAGGACTAACGACCTCATGATGATGATGGTCTTCTATCTCTTCATTTTCAGAAAAGTAATTTGGATTAATTAAATAATTATTGTCAGAAAATATAATCTACCTCTACTTTTTGGTCGAAGGGGCATTGGAAAATCGTAAAAGATCTTTCAGAGTATCCATTATTTTTTCTATTGATGCCTTTGGTTGCATTTACAACATGCATTTTGCCATCAGCATCTTCGTATTCTACCCCATATGCGGTGATCATGTTATGATCTATAAGGATTTTGGTTACTGTAGGTTTGGTTTTCAAATGAAAATTTGCAATGGGGATGCATTCGGGTTGACGCTTTCTCTACATCCATGTATGTTACTGCATTGTAATTAGCATAGTTGGATTCGTGTTGAATTTTTCCTTAAACTGCAGTCTCGGCTATATTTGTATGTTCTGGCGGATATTATAACTGACTGTTGTATAGCCGTCATTAAAATCAATTATGGTAAAATCTTCCTGAAATATGGCTGGACTTCATTAAACGATCTAACCGTATTCTCTATAGTTTCAGCGTCCTCTTTTTTTGAAAAAAGTGGTTTAGAAAAAAAGATATTCAATTTTTTAACCATAGATCATCTAATATGTACCCTCATAAAGAGTGTAATTGTGAAACCGCTGTCACAATTTCAAGTTGATTCACGCAACGGTGTTCAGGTAATGTCCTCCCAGTTTGAAAGAAGTGATTTGGAAGAAAATGCATCCAGTATTTTAACATAAGCGAACTTAATTGCGTTTTTTATTACAGTATACATACCCTCATGAACTCTGAAGGACCTAAAGGCCCCTTGTTCTGTAAGAGTATGCGGGTTTGCAAACCTGTTTCAGTTTATACGTATACTGCGTAATCGGTTTTTTAATCTGGCGGTAAACCACTTCATTATGACATTCCAAGAAAAGCACACCAAACTCGAATTATGGCGTCCTCAGGGGTAAAGCAGTCCGGATGTAAACTAGTCCCCCATTCGGATGTCTAGTCGGGGACAATCTCGGGGGATTGATCAATAAGTGCAACAGGGGAAGGTGCAATATTTCTCTAGTGGAATGTTAGAACTATGAGCGAGTAGGGAAATTAGAGAATTTGAAAGTCGAAATGAATAGGCGAGAATTAGATATAGTAGGCATTAGTGAAGTCCGTTGGCCAGAATACTGGTATTCAAAGGAAGAAGAAGTAGGGAAAGAGCGAATGTAAAGATAGGAGACGAAATATTAGAAGTGGCTGATTTTAGGTATCTAGGAAGTCAGATAAGTCAGGACAGAAAGAATAGTAGGGATATAAAGCAGAGGATAGCGCATGGTCGAGTTGCCTTCAAGAAAAAGAAGTCACTTCTATGCCCGCGAACGATTAAATTAGAAATTCCAAAAATACTGTTAAAGGTGTATGTTTGGAGTGCAACGCTGTATGGGTGCGAAACATGGACGGTGGGCGCGGCGTAAAAGAAAAGGTTTGAAGCGTTCGAAATGTGGTGTCACAGGCGAATGATGAGTATACCATAGATAGTGAAGGTTAGAAATGAAGAGGTATTAGAAAGAATAAGAGAGCAGAGGACTCTATGGAAGTCAATAAAAAATAAACGAAATAGGTTGGTGGGACACCTTCTCAGGCATGAAGGTCTATTCAAAGATCTATTAGGGGCAGAAACAGGGGTTAAGAAGAGTAGAGGTAGACCTAGGTTAGATTATTGTTCACAAATATTTAGTTAAGGATGTGGGTTGTTCAAATTTTAGGGAAATGCGGAGATTAGCTCTGGATAGAAGAAGTGGAGGTGCATGTTCAACTTTCTGGAGGCATGGATAACAGTGGAATTGACGACAAGTCTTTGGCAATTAATGTGTTTTTTGTTGAGTTTTTATTAGGACGTTAATTTGAATCTTAATTTTCTGTTGTATAACGTAAGGCTCATTCTTCGGCACTTGTAGGAGCAGTTATCAGATATGAAAGGCTGAGGACGTTACACATACATTTTTTTTTTATTACTACAATACTTCGGATTGACTTGAGCAAGTAAAGTTCCTAGCCGATATTCCGATTTCTGCATACTCTACAGAACACCTTGGGTAGAGAAACTATTGATAATATTTTCTTACTTTTATTTTAATGTAACAACAAGCTTTATGTTTGCAAACTGAACTAAAAAAACTGTTTGTTATGTGTACTGTCTTTGGTATTACTTGTTAGCTTAAAACGAAAAATTTTAAAGATGCAGTAGCAAACAAAGATAATTAGGTGTCGCAGATGATTTACTTTATTTTTTATGGGTTTCAAAACCTATGATGTAGACGAAATTTGATCTCTAAGAATATCAATTTGAACTAGTCCAATTCCAGTCTTCTTTGATCATGTCTGCTCCCTTTTCGGCAATCATGAATGTGGGAGCATTTGTATGACCAATGGGTATAACAGGCATAATAGATGCGTCTATAACTCTTAATCCTTTCACTCCATAAACTCTTAATCTTGGGTCTACTACAGCGTCATCGTCATCCTTCGAACCCATTTTACAAGTACCACACTGATGATAAATTGTAAAAGTGAAATGACGTGCCATACATTTCCAATAGTCATCTGTCCCAAAACCATTAGCTTCACAGTTGGGTATCGATTTTTTATACAGTTCAGTTTTTATAGACTGCATGGCGGGTTGCTGTGTGATATTCAGAAGGATTTTCAGACCCTTAATGATAATGTCTAAGTCCTCCTCTTCGGAGAAATAATTTGGTTCAATTAGAGGTTTGGATGAGTAGTTGTTATCTTTAAGAGTTATCCTCCCTCTGCTTTTCGGGCGCAGGAGCATTGGAAACACCATAAAGTTGGATCCTCCAATTATGGGACCGTAGACCTTGTTATAAATGTCTTTATCGATACCAAAAATCCTTCTGAAGGTTTTTGTAGAGCTAAGTGAGCCATGTAGATATAAGAGCTCTATGTTAGGGTAGCCGTTCGGATCAAGAGGATTTTCTGTATCGTGGTAGCTAATGGTTTCGCAGCCTCCGGATAGTGTATAAATTCCTTTATGATTGGGAAAGTACTCTTTGAAACTCTTCGGTTTTAGAAGATTTGAGTGAGCATTGGTGGTATTAACTAAAAAGGTCAGCCCTCCAACTGCGATATGGTCCATAAGATTGTAACCAACTTTTAAATTTTTTAAAGCTGGTACGCCTACTTCTTCAAGATGTTCTTTTGGTCCAATTCCGGACAGCATCAATAACTGGGGAGAGTTGATTGCTCCCGCACAAACAATTACTTCTTTACTTGCGTTCACAAAGTATCTTTTACCATTATTTAGTATAAATTCTACGCCATACGCCAACATTGTGCTAGGATTAATAAGAATTTTCGATACCATCGCTGACTTCTTAAGGTGGAAGTTATTTCTGTTTTTAATTGGGTGAAGATAAGATCGACTTGCGCTGGCTCTTACTCCGTCTTTCATCGACGATTGAAGAAATGACACACCAATTGATGTTGCACCATTGTAATCAACGTACCTAGACCCGTATTCTATTTCTGCTTCAACTGCGGCTTTTCCTATGCTCGAACGATATGGTTGATTACTGACAGTTACGTAGCCATCTTGAGAATGATATTTAGTATCGTTATCATATCCAGGAACGACAAAATTTTCAACTTTTTTAAAATATGGTAGAACTTCCTTGAACGACCAGCCCGTGTTTCCCATTTTTTCCCAATTGTCATAATCTTTTCTATTTCCACGAGTATAGATCATGAAGTTCAAAACACTGGAGCCTCCGAGTACTTTTCCTCTAGGAAAATTACACTGCCGATTTTCCATCCCTAGACAGTAATTATCACTTGGTACCGTTTTGTAATCCCAGTTTGCCTCACTGAGCTGGAGAAAATTAGCCAAAATGGGGATGTCCATAATGAATTTTTCGGAACCGCCTGAAATGAGAAAAGAACCTTGCATTGATAATGTCTAAATGTAAATACGCTAACTGAGCGTCAGGGGTTGCATATGGGTGATGTATGACCATTGCAAATTCACTGCATCACGCAGCTGCTGTAACTACTGGACCGTTATCAAACATCCCACGATTAGCTAGAGGAGCTTATTCTTCTGTGGTCACATATTTTACTTTATCAATGCTGGAGCGCTGCAGATTAATCATAAATTTTTGATGAAACTTGGTAAAAACTTTCAGGAAGTTGCCAAAGTGTCGAAGTCTTCATATGGATATAATGCACTAGGAAATAAAATCACTTTTGAGTGAATTAACAGGGGATGAAGTATTTCTGTAAACATTTAACGTATCAGAATTCAGAAAAGTATAAATTTCACAATGTTTTACTTTAGTTTGTCTTGATTTTATTATAACTACTTAGAAAATGTATTTTGTAAAATCTTTTGCTGTCGCTCATTTTTGTGTGTGTTTTGCACCTTAAAATTGATTTTCAGTTGTATACTACATTTGAAAAGACTGTTAAAGGTGTAGTATATGTTTGAAGCGGGGCACTGTGCGAGACAGACGGTGGACGTGACGGAAAAGAAAAGATTAGAAACGTTCGAAATGTGGTGTCCCAGGCTAGTGATGAGATTACCGTAGATAGAGAAGGTTAGAAATAAGGAGGTATTAGAAAGAATAGGTGGACGCTATGGAAGTCAATAGGAAATAGGTGAGATGGGTTGGTAGGACACCTTCTCAGGCATGAAGGTCTAGTCAGAAACATGATTTAAAAGGAGTAAAAGTAGATGCAGACTAGATTATTGTTTGCAAATAGTTAAGCATGTGGGATGTTCTTGTTTTAAAGAAATACGAAGATTAGCTGAGGATAGGAAAGGATAGGGTGTGTGTTCAACCTGTCAAATGACTGACAACCTTGTGATGATGATAACTAAATTGTATATTTACCAGCTTCTAATAGAAGTACATTCCAATTAGGATTTTCAGTCAAACGATTTGCTATCACGCTTCCTGCCGTACCAGCACCAACTACGATGAAATCGTATTCTGAAAGTATCTCCAAAGTATCGTCTGGTTCATTTGCGGCTTGTTCACATGACTCTTTTATAAAATCGAACAAGGATCCGATTAAGCTTCCAGCGTAAATTGGAACGATATAGGATAGAATGAAGCACCTTTTAAAAATTTTCATATCGAATGGTTTAGCTACAAATGAAATAAAATGACTACCTAAACTAAAATTTTTTGTTATTTAACAAGCGTATTATAGTGTACAAAAATGACGTTACATT